CATGTACTCACGTTTCTTACATGGCACTTATATATTCTGACTTTTTCTTTGTGTACTCAAACGACATACCAAGTACACAAGAACACGGTCTCACAAATCTCACAAACTCTCGGGTTGAATCACACGCCTTGATTCAACCACTCATACGTCACGTTTTGTTTCCTAATTTTGGGATAACTTCTCAAATATTTCTGTACCTCGTACTTACCTCTTTTCATGGCTTACGTTTACAGCCTAACATATACGGTATTGTTTTAAATCCTGCACCTTATTATACCACAAACACTAGCATTACTATATCATACGCATTAATCTGGTCACCAGAGACATATCATACACACCCCCAAGCATGATTACCATACCACATACAGGGCCAGTCGGGCCAATATCATTCATGTATTCCCTTTCCATATGTACTACTAGAACTCATCACATATAACTAGTCTAAATTGGTATCATAGGATCCAATTCTCACACTATCATATTTGGTTTTTCTATCCCTTTAGGATTTTTCCAGTTTTTCTCTACCTATCGCTTATCAAGCGCATACATACTACCAGGTACGTTAAGCCTGCTCACGCCATACATCACATATGGTTCCTCCTCTACTTAGGACATAGAGTACTGGCAATTTTAGGGGTTATAGGCCCAAATAGGTATCCCCCCTCCGGGCATTCTGCCTATCGTTTAGTGGTCCGCGAGGCCAACACCCCGCCTCAACGTTTCGGAGGTAATGCCCCCCGGGCCACACGTGAGTTAGCCGCCTCGCAATTATAGAGAGGGTGCCACCTGTCACCCCCTTCCCCTGTTTTCTTGTATTGTCACCGAGAGGCCTACGAATTCCTGCCACTACGTCGGGTGGCCTCAAATAACCCCTCGCGCCAACGCATAGATAGAGCCTCTCATAGCCACTTGGCAACTAGCAGGGCCTCACCTGTCACCAAAGAACAAGTTTTAATTTTTCGCCTATCCGGCATAATTAGCCTGCCAGTACATCCCCTCGGGGGGTTTTATGCTAACCATATACTTTTGTAATCTAGTATGTCTCAAGAAGGGGTAGAGGATTTCTCCATCCCAAGGACTCCGGCTAGAACCAACACCCCATCACAGGAGGAAGATACGGCTAGTCCAGCATCTTTCAGATCATGGACTATCCCTCGTATCACTAGCGAACTCAGGAGACGACAAATCCCTTTTCCAGCAACAGCAAGGAAAGCGGAACTTTACAAATTATTACACACCTCAACTGATAACATGGACGCTGGGGAAGGGTCGAGCCAGTCCCACCCAGGGAACATACATGACATGCTCACGTCCCTCATGACATCCATGAGCAAGGTCAATTCTAGGCTGGAGAAACTTGAATCGGTCACTACAGCCCTCACTATGGCTGGACCGGCCACGGCAATTCCCCCATCAGTGGTGGAGTCGCAATCAGTTTCTCCAGCTATCACCTCGGATGACCAAGAAGTTTACCCTGCCCACATGATTCCTGAGCACCTCAGGAGAGATATCCTGGAAGGTAAAGATGTCAATCTGGCCTCACTACTAATTGCCTCCCAGGATATAGTGGAACATAAGACCTACGCTTATGACGATATTTCTGTGGTGGTCAAATCCAGGGATGCACGATTAAATAGGAAGCTAACCATTCCTGAATTTGTATTAGCTTTTGGCATTTATCGGGATGTGGTCTGTACGGTATATCCCCACAGACGTGAGGAGTTTGACTTATATATGCACAGGCTGGTTGATCTGGGCAACAAATATGGTGGGTCAGCTTTCTATGACTACCATAGATCTTTTTCTGCCAAAGTGTCTGGCGCCTTCTCACAGTACGGGACAAGGTCCAACTGGAGTAAGATTGATACGATCATTTTTTGCAGGCACTTTGCAGGTCTAAGAGCACCGGCCTGTGCACACTGCTCCTCCATGGCTCATACTGCCAATTTTTGTCCGACCACTGCGAACGAACCTACCACCTCGCAGGGCACTAGCTCCGCTGTGTCAGCAGAGAGAACACCTAAAGACAAACTGGGTCGACCTATCAAGTTTTTGGGGAAGTCCCAAATATGTAATAATTTCAATGTCGGTGCATGTAATTACAGCGGTTGTCGGTTATTGCATATATGTTCAAAATGTTTTAGGGCACATGCGAAAACCATGTGTCCAAATAAAATGTACCCTAAGCAATACTTAACTGAGATAAATATTTCTGTACTCACGGCATTACTGTCACGACATCCATCTAGACATTTGGTAGACTTCATCATCACTGGTCTATCACAAGGATTCCATACTGGTCTCATACACATGCCTTCAGGAATCCTTGAATGTCCTAATTTACAATCTGCACAACAAAACCCTACAGCGGTTAGCACACTCATAGCCAAAGAAGTGGCAGAGGGCTTCCTATTGGGACCCTTTCAGTCCTCTCCTTTTTCCACATGGCGGACAAACCCCATCGGTATTGTCACAGGGAAATCTTCCCACAAACAAAGACTTATCATCGATCTGTCTGCACCTCACACCTCTGCCTCACCTAGTCTGAACTCCCTTATCCCCTCTGAGGAATTTTCACTTCAATACTCCACCATAGATCACGCCATTACAGCTATCATGCAGGCAGGGGTCGGAGCATGGCTCAGCAAGACTGACATTACAAATGCCTTCAAATTATTGCCTATCCACCCTACACTATGGCACCTGCATGGCATTAAGTGGGCCGGGCACTACTACTTTTTCTCACGCCTAACGTTTGGTTCAAAAAGTAGTCCGGCCATTTTCGACGTATTCGCCGAAACATTATGCTGGTTATTATTAAATGTAGCCAGATGCCCTACAGTTATACACTACCTGGATGATTTCTTACTGATCGAAGAGAACACTTCCCCTCCCAGTAGCCTCATAGCAACCATCAGTCTTTTCAAACAGGTGGGTGTTCCAGTCTCCCCCACCAAAACTGAAGGACCAGATACAGTCATCACCTTTCTGGGAATCATGCTAGACTCAGCCACCATGCAAGCCAGCCTGCCACGCACCAAGATAGAGAACATTCTCACCAACATTAACCTCTACATACACCTCGGTACTTGCAATCGCAAAGAATTGCAGTCTCTACTTGGGTCACTGAACTTTGCCATGCGCATTATACCTCAAGGCCGGGCTTTCATCTCACGGCTCCTAACCATGTTCCCACTGTTTAGACATGATGCACACAGGTTACCACTGGATACCCAAGCCACGGCAGACCTACTTATGTGGAGAAACTTTTTGACCACCTGGAATGGGAAAAGCATGTTTCTCCCTAAATTGTCTGACTCCTCACCTACCATCTGGTCAGACGCGGCGGCTACCACAGGTTTTGCAGCAATTTACGGGAATGAATGGCTTTGGGGTAGCTGGCCTCCAGAGGTACAGGACCTGGAAGGGTTTTCCACTACCTCAGCTCTATTTGAGATGTATCCCATTGTAGCAGCTGCCGTGACATGGGGGCATCTATGGGCAGGTTCGTCAGTACGTTGCCACTCAGACAACCAAGCTACCTGCCACATCATAAACAAAGGCCGATCCAAGTCACTGACCATTATGAGGTTCTTGAGGAAACTCACCTGGCTGGCTGCATGCCATAACTTCTTCTTGTTTTGTGTCCATGTCCCAGGTGTTTGTAACACGGCTGCTGACAGTTTGTCTCGTTTCAATTTTCAGGCTTTTCGGCAAATACTTCCGTCAGCCGCACGTACAGCCACGACCACTCCACCTTTCCACCAGCTAGTCATGGACTAGAAGCTATTATGCAACATAGCAGGACATTGGCACAATTAGCACTGTCCACCAATACCCGGAGAACATATGACAGGGCTTTCCTTCTATTTAAAGATTCCTGTCACTGCACAACGCCACACAACCTTTCATCATGACATCTTTGTTAGGTTTTGCTTCTTTTTGCCACCTCAAACTTAAATTATCTTACAACACAATCAAGCTATATCTGACAGGCATACAACATCACATGCTAACATTACAACCAAACAACACAAGTTTCATGTCCTCCTACCAGATAAAAAACATCCTTAGAGGTATCCAGAGATCCGAACCCCCACGTACCGCGCAAAGGCTACCTATAGACTTCAATATCTTCAAGGATTTATCCAGCCTACTAGATTCAAAACCCTTTGCGAACAACACAAACCTTGTTATAAAACCGCCATATACGTAGCTTTTTATGGTTTCTTGAGACCAAGAGAATTTACCGCCATCAACACATCCCAGTCCACTCACATTCTGCTTCATTCACACTTAACGAAACACATGGATTACTATATTTTAACTCTGCATCACTCCAAAACCAATCAACACGCACCCCCGGTAGAGGTTAGATACTATCCTACCCACAACGTGTGGTGCCCCGTCACATTACTGGACACCTATACTCAGCATTTCAAAGCATCACCATCTCAACCACTTTTCTGTCTACAAGGTTCGGTACTCACTACCACCACCTTCATGACCCACGTCAGGTCCCTACTTACACAACTAGGACTAAAATCAGCTAACTATTCGGGCCACTCCTTCCGCATAGGGGCGGCCTCCACAGCGTCCAGTGCAAACATTCCAGTACATGTTATCAAGTCACTAGGGCGCTGGAAGTCTTCTGCATACTCTAGATACATACCTAACCCGGTACAAGAAGTTAGAAATGCCTTTCAAGATATGTCTGGTTGAAGTATGTATACTGCTCGTTTCGTAATAAAGTATATTTTCTACTTTTGCCCTCTTTATTTACAGGCCTACCTCATCGTCGGTTCCGGCACACCACAACCGACTTGCTCTTTCACACTATCCCATACTTATCAGTGTTTGTATCTTCTGTACTATCATGAGCCCTTAACACAAGTATTAAGGCCTTTTGGCCTGTAATTGTGGGAGGGGCGTATGACTCACCTTCTCCCTACTTAAGGGACACCCCTTACCTGGCTCCATACCGTTCGAGGTCAGCGCTGCATCACCCTCCCACCCACTCCTCTTTTATTAACTCCTTTTTCTCATACATTTCTTATTGGTGGGCCCTCTTTATTTACAGGCCTACCTCATCGTCGGTTCCGGCACACCACAACCGACTTGCTCTTTCACACTATCCCATACTTATCAGTGTTTGTATCTTCTGTACTATCATGAGCCCTTAACACAACTGTACTTTTAAAAGTAAATATAAATGCTTTCATAGACCTTACAAGCTGCCTCTACTCCCCATGGCTTAACAGTATACCTAAAAGTCAGCCACTAAGACTGAAAAGAACTGTACTGATTTTACAACTTTTAATGAACAAGCTAAGATATTAAAAAATAAATTAGTTTAAAAAAAATACAATGTCGATAGTCTAGACACCCTAATTAATAATATAGGGAATACACAGATACATTGTATAATAATGTTAATAAATTCGAATCAAAGATCACAATAACAGAATCTAAAATAAAAATGTGTATTACATGTAATACAAAAAATGTGATATATATGCCCTTGTGGCCTCCAATGTGTAGGAATGACCACAAGAAGCTTAAAACTAAGAATAGCTGATCACAGCAGGAACATTTCTAATGGTTTTATGAACCACATGTTAGCAAACACTTTTTTGTTTCATGATAAACACCCCAAGCTTTTAAAATTTTGCCTTAGATTTGTATACTATACGATGGTGGGGAGGCAACATTACTAAAATATTAAGAAGAAGGGACATGAAATTGGTATTTTATTTAGGAACTTTAATTCCTATGGGCTTAAACAAAAATTTTGACCTTTATAATTTATATATATGTATTTTATAATGCTTTATTTATATTTTTATATACAGGTAGTCTTACATATACTCAGCTAGCTCTTATATTTATTCTCTTTCTCCTTATATCTGGTTTTAATATACTAAGACAGATCTTACATTTACCTTAATTTATTCATATATATAGTTTTTAATGTTAACTTATTTAAAAAAACAAAGTTGCCATATACTTATATGCAATTGATTATATGTATGTAATTATAGCATATGATTATATGTATGTTTTTTAATTTACATTTTTATTGCATCCAATTTGCTAATTCTAATCTTATCAAGTTTCTAGTTTTATTATTTATTAATTTCCTTATTCTATATATTTTATTATTACTTTTTTTTATTCCTCTTTTGCCCTTTTTTACTTATTCTACAACTATTTGTGGTAAATGTGGTAAAGTGGTCCTGGGACAGTGGGTGGAGTAGTAAAGGGGGAGATGGAGAGGATAATATAAATAGGCTGCCATCTTACAGGATAGCAGCTGTAGTAGTATTATCCACGGTATCTCCGCTGGTAGACAGGATGAAGCAGGTAAAATGTGGGTAAAATGCAGGTAACGTAGTTACAATCCTTTTCTCCCAAGAACTAGATGACACATAGCTTGGAGGTTTAAACACTGGCATCTCACGAGGCTGAGTCACACGCTTTAATGATTACAGCTTCTTTTAAGCACAGATCTCCAAGGGGATCTGCATTCCACACAATACACTTCCCTTAGTCCTAGGCAGGAGGGGGTTGGGTTACAGATAGCCATCTCCCGCTTTAGGAGATACCAAGCAGTACACAGGGATACACTTTACATCATATTACATTCAGGGGAGGTTACACTTTAAGTGGCTGGTTTTGCCACATATAGGAATAGCAATGCAGTAATAGCAAGATACATACAAGAACATTCTGTAAGTGTAAGCCATCTTAATTATCAGTTGGTAACAGCTTGGTAATTGCTGGTTGTTGCACTCGGTATACCTGCTTTCCAAGTGCTGTTTGCGGCCAGGGTATGGATATCGAAGCTGTCCTCTCTGCCCTTAGGGCTGAGGCCTTACAAGATGGGGGGCTCGTCTTCAGGCCTCCGCAGCTGTTGCCGCCTCCCCTCCCGGCGGTAGTGGAGGTTCCCAGGGACAAGTTCAGCCATCGGAAAATTTTGCCCCGCTAGGGGAAGCTATGGGCCCTCCTGGGCACAGGTGTGCAGGCCTGGCCTCACGGACCTGGTGGGCTGAGGCCGCGACGATTGCTTCACCTCCCTTGTGGGCTTCTGTCTCTACCCGGGCGGGGGGGTGTTCTATGGCATTCCGCGCCTGCTTATCTTTCCTGTCTCCAGCCCACGTAGCAGGAGCCGCAGTCCTTCTTCCTGGGCCAGCTGGCCCACGGCTACACAGGCGGATGGTGCTTCGGCGCAGGCTGACTCTCCTTCTGCGGCTGCTGAAGGTTTTCTGGCGGACTTGCCTCCATCGGTGGACCTGCCACATGGGTCCCGCGGCCCAGTCCGGAGGAGTGGTGGACGGGCCTCCAGTCTAATGAGTAGGTTTAAGGGTGTATCCCAGGAGGCATAGGGTGGGGTGGGACCCTTCTTTGGTTACTTTGTCTGGGGGTGCCCGTCACAGGTGGTCCCTGAATCTTCCCCACCCGCGGTGGCTCCACCGGGCAGGGAGGTCACACCAGCGCACATGGTGTGGCCTATATGTGTTGGTCTGGCCCCCTGGGGCTGCATTTGCGCCAAGAGGTGCAGGGAAAAAATTTGGAAGGGGGAGTTTGTTGAGATTTTCTCCCTGCTCCGCTTGGAGGACTTGCCCTCTCCGAATAAAGAGTCTAAGGACTCCAACAAGGACAAGGACACTCCGCTGCATCGGCCTTGCCCAGGTACACTGTTTGCTGCTGGCAATACGAGAGTCAATGTAAATTGGGGAGTAGTTGCAAGTTTAAACATGAGTGCTCTGGAGTGCGGGGATTTCATGGTCTCGAAGGGCGAGGACGCCGTTATAGGAATCGCCAGGCAGCAGAGCTGCTCTTTGGGGGTTTCTGGGATGGGTTTTGGATTCCCCATCGGGTGAGGGATTCTTCTGGGATTTGTCAGACCCTCAAGTCGGTTCGGGATCACCCCGAGGTGGTGGATTGGCCGTTCGCAGCCCTGACAATGCTTAAGAAGGAGCTGGGCAAGTTTCCGCTGATTCACCATTTGTCCTACCCATTCGAGGGTTTGGTGAATAGTGATATTGATGAGGAGCTGTGTAAGGTGTCGTACGTGTCCTTTGACACGGCGGTTCGGATGGTTCAGGTGGCAGGCCCTGGGGCTCTGATGGCAAAGGCGGATAGCAAGGCTGTTTTTCGGCTGCTTCCTTTCCACCCGGACTGCCATCATCTGTTTGTTTCTTCCAGGGCAGTTATTACGTGCATCTGTGTTTGCCCATGGGTTGTGCAATTTCCTGCTTCTACAATTTTTCGATTGTTAGTACATTTCTGGAATGGGTGGAATGTGTTGGCCCAGCTAGTTCGACAGTGTATACGCACCTTCTCCAAACCCTGGTATCGGTCTCTCATTTTTTTTGGCTTCTTTGGGATTGAGATTGATTAGGTTGCTGTGGAATGTCGTTTGCTGGAGGATAAGGTTTTGGAACTTGCCCTGCTTAGTCTCTGCCGCCAGATCCCTCAGGAAGATTTAGCTGCGACACCTGCAGTAGCTTTTGGGTAAGCTACAATTTGCGTGACGGATTATTTCTGTGGTAAGGGTGTTTAATCCCGGGTTGGCAGCGGTAACCGCAGGGGTTGGAATGCCCTCATCATTACGTGCATATCACTCGTCCATTGCGCGATGATCTAGTAATTTGGTCATTCTTCTTGGACGGGTTTAATGGTCGGTCATATTGGCAGGCACCTGAGGTGTCCAATGCCGAACTCGAACTGTTCACTGGCACTGCAGGTGCGTTGGGTTTCGGGGCAATCTTTGAGTCCCACTGGTGTGCCGAATCTTGGCCAGAATCTTGGCATTCGGTGCGGTTTACTAAGAACCTGGCTTTCCTGGAGGTGGCAGTAGAGATCTGGGGTGATCTCCTCAGGGTTCTCAGTGGTCTTCCACTGTGATAATATGGGGGTAGTGCAGGCCATCAATAATTTGTCTGCTTAGTTCCCTCCAGTGGTGCGGCTTCTTCTGCAGCACCTGGTGCTGTGCTGTTTGCGTTTGAATGTATATTGTAGGGCTGTGCATGTGCCCGGGGTTGCCAACGTTACAGAGGATGCTCTTTCTTGTTTTCAGTGGCAGGAATTCGGGTGGCGATGGCCAGTGAGTTTTCCATGACCGAATAATGTCTTGGATTCGGGGTTCAGTCTCTGAGTCTACTTGGCAGCATTATGGTAAGGCATGGAGCGAGTGGGTGGAATTCCAGAGGTAGCTCGGGGGTTTTCGGTCAGATGGTGAGAGTGTGCACAGTTTGTTACAGCTAATTTGGTTCTGGGAAACCTCGGGTTGTTTTACCTCGGCTGTGTCTGGGAAGTTGCCTGGGCTGAGCTTTTGGTTTGAGCTCACCAGGGTTTTGGACATCAAAGAGGATGTTCTTATTTCATTGGTAATGAAGGGATGGCATAAGGGGCCCAAGCTTTTGGTTTCTCGGAGGCCGGTTTCAGGCGCTATTATGGTGGACTTGTTCACTGTGCTGCCGCAGGTCTGTTTCTCTCCATTCGAAGTGGTGTTATTTCAGTTGGCGTTCTCCTTCACCTTTTTCGGTGCCATACGGGTGTGCAAGCTTGTGAGTACATCTAAATCAGTCCCTGGGGGTTTGTTGTTATTTGGGGATGTTTTGGCGAAGCAGATGCAGTGAGGTTTTTGATTCGGAAGTCCAAAAGAAACATTCTTGGGCGAGGGATGTGGGTCACATTATGTAGCATCCCTGGCTCTATGGTATGTCCTTTGGCATGTCTTCATGCTTTCTGGGAGGTTAGCTCGGCGGGTCCTTTGTTGGTTAACGGGGATGCCAGTTTCTTCCTGGTTCCAATTTATCAGGTTTTTCTTATTCCCTATTCACTCCCCTACATTATAAATCTCTCCCTCCAGTATTGGGCTCACAATAATTGTATATTTCAGTGCAGCAGCCACGCCAATCACATGATGGGGATAATGGCACCATCTTCTGTAACAGGACTTCACCAGCACCAAAGCCCTGTGGACTAAAACAGTGAAAATGGCGAAATTATTGCAAGGGAATACCATTACTGGAGAATACAGCCGTTCGCATGATTTCAGACGAATTCTTTGTGTTAAGTATGGAGGGCCGCCATTTCGGCACTTTACACGTGGCCGCGGCCATTTTACGTGCGAACAGCGGTGGTTGCCCGTCGACGCGTGGAACTAAAATCGAATACGCAAACAGGCGAACACCGCTGA